ATGAAGAAAGAGCCACAAAGAAGTAACAAAAGAATACCAGAAAAGCACTGAAGAAATGACAAAAAATCCTGAAAAAACGATGAAATCTAAAAAAAAAAAAACACAAAAAAGTATTAAAAAGAATGAACTATTGAAAGCATCAAAAACCACCAAAAAGTGACCAAAAAAGAATGGGAAATAAGCACCAAAAAACAATGCAAAAAAAATTAATTGCTAGGGTCTTACAGGTAGGCTTATTACTTCTTACCCAGGTTGATATAACTGCAACCTGATACCCGACCCACCTGCAAGTGATTCAGGTGATACCTGATTTACTTATTTGCACCAGTGATACAAATCGCGTGCCAATAGTAAATATTTATTTGTTAATATTTTTGCTAATAGAATATGAGATAGGAATGACATTAATGTTAGGCTTAGAGTTGAAATAAAGTGACATGTATAGTAAAATTTTGCAAGGAATTTTTTTTATTAAACCACAAAAAAAATTATATAAATTTCAAATTCTATTCTTTGGCAAGTTCCAATAAAGGCATTTATTTATTTCTAATTATTTTTTGTTTCTTGTCAAAGACAAAAAATTCGGGGTTAAAAAATTAAATTAAATTTTGATTCCTATTTTTTGGCAAGATTCATTTTTGTTCAAACAAAGATATTTATTTATTTCTAATTATTTTTCGTTTCTTGTCGAAAACAAAAAATTCAGGTTAAAAATTGAATTAAATTTCAATTTTTATTCTTTAGCAAAATCCATTTTTATTTAAATAAAGGCATTTATTTATTTTTGTTGTTAAAGACAAAAAATTTAGGTTTAGAAAATTGAATTAAATTTTGATTCCTATTCTTTGACAAGATTCATTTTTGGTTAAATGAAGATATTTATTAATTTCTAATTATTTTTTGTACCTTGTTGATGACAAAAAATTTGGGTCTAAAAAATTGAATTAAATTTTGATCCATATTCTTTGGCAAGATCCAAACAAAGGTATTTATTTATTTTTAATTATTTTGTTTCTTGTTGACAAAAAATTTAGGTTTAAAAAATTGAATTAAATTGATTTCTATTCTTTGAAAAGGTATATTTTTATTCAAACAAAGCCTTTATTTAAAAAATTCAGGTTTAAAAAATTAAACTAAATTTCAATTTTTATTCTTCAGCAAGATACATTTTCATTTAAATAAAAGCATTTATTTATTTTTAGTTATTTTTTGTTCCTTATTGAAGACAAAAAATATATAAACAAATATAAATATATAAAATTTTTTACTTTGATTTCTTTTGTCATAATTTTTTATTTTAAGCAATCCTGCCTTTATTCATGTAAGCTATAAAAAATTTATATACAAACAGGTACTCATATTATTTTTCACATTGTTGTTCTAATCTAATAAAGACTTACTAAGCATAATATCCAATATGACTTGCTATAACAACTATTAGTCTTCTCTGGGATTTGAAACTTGTTTCAAATTTTGCAATTCAATACTATTAACAGGTTGTTGTATACCATATTAGGATCTCTTTTTTCCTTCTAATTCTTTCTTTTTCTCAAAGAGCATAAGACAAAAGGAAAAAAAATTTTAACAAAAAGAATTTATAAAAATAATCAAAAAATAAAAAAAAATAAAAAAGAAAAAGAAAACACTAATGTGAAAAAAAAAACATAAAAAAAAATCTAAATCCTAAAGGCACTATTATAACCTGTGCTTGGCTACTAAAAAATTATATAACAACTACAACAATTGTATATCTTTCTTATAAAGCTTCGCCTTATTGTTCGTTTTTTTTCTAACTAACTTCAAATAGTTTCATTTAGCTTGTTTTAATCCGTATCTTAAGCCAAATACTACCGCTATCTGTAAACCCATATCTCAAGCCACCTGTTGCTATTATTAGGAGTTTGTTGTCTGGAGCCTGATTCTAAATAGTAATACCATATTCATCAAACACATGGTTGTAATCTACTATGCTGTTTCAAATTGGAATATGAACAATGCCAATCTTTTGAAGAGAGTAAGCCAAATTCCACTTTTTGTCAAAAATTTTTGAAAAACCAGCAAGAAGGCAAGAAAAAGTAGAAAAGGAACTACTTGACCAAGTAAAAAGAGTGTAGCTTAAAAAAAACAATATTTGTTGTTTCCTCTATGTATTTCTTTAAAATAACAATCTAAGAGCTTTGTTGATGGAGAAGACCAGAGACTCTTTTGGTATTCATTTCTTTACCAAGATTTTTATATAAGGTGCTATGCCACCTCTTGCCAGTTATCTTGCACAATAACGCTCTTGGCTTGTATACTGAATGTCTCTTATAGAGGAGTCCTGCGCACAAAAAGTGTTAATCTCTAGACAAACTACTATATTAGGCTACAACTTTCTAACAAAACTGTTTTTCTTTTAGTAGAAAATTTTGATGCAAATGATTGTCAGAAAGAGTTTTAGCTTGTAATGTTTTTCTTTTGTTATAATTTTTCATGCAATTTTTACAAATATTAATAATATCTTGGTACTTGAAATTCTAACTCAAAATTCATTTTTAAACCAGTTAATCATATTTAATTTTCAATAACAGCACCTGTTCAAGCAATATATTTGTTATAAAAGTCTAATTTATATTCAATTCCTTTTTGTTAAGATTTATTGGTTAATATGAATAATTTTTCCATAATTTTTATACAAACTAAAATATATCAAACATTTTTGAACAAGCATTCAGATGAAAATTTTCATTAATATTATTGTTATGACAATCATAAAACCAAATTAATAACTTAACTGGATCAGCGAGAAAATTATTTGGGCAAATTTTCACAGATGTCCTAGAAATTATAATAATAGCTATAAGGCATAAGCCAAATATTATAGTACACAACAGGTTTTACAGCACATATTAAATACAGTATATGTAATTTTATATTCTGAACAACTTTTATTAAATAATAAATATAGTTTTACTTAGTACAATTTTAACTTTTATATATAGCAACTACTTTGTAGCCAATAATAAATTATAAGAATAGCTTTATTTTTGAAAAAAAATTTTTTATGTTTTTCTTTCAAGAAAAGAGAGAGTAGCTTATTTTTGGGAATATATAGGTGCCATCAAGGAAAAATCTACAATTGGCTTTTAAGTATATTTTGTATACAGTTGGTTATTTGTATGCTGTCTATAGTAAATCTATATCCGATGATAGATTTACATAGATACACAAAATATACTTGAAAGCCTGATTGTAGATTTTCCCTTGACGGCGCCTATATGATATGTCAGGTATAGATTAGTTAAATTAATTTCGGTACTGTAAATACAATTTGTAATATAGTCCTTGTAACCTGTATATCTAAAATGTCAATAAACTAACTAACACTTAGCAAAAAAAAAAAAATAGAGTAATTAACTTTAAAAATCTAGTTTACTGGTTTTTTTTGAAAATAAACTTAATTGGTAAGTTTTGAAAAATTACAAGAATATGAAGTATATTAAATTGGCTAAGCCACAATATCAATTATCCAAATTTGGATTTGTCCACTATGCTTATAAATGTAAAAAAAAAAGTATTTTAGAAAATGAAACTCAGTTCTAATTCTTACCAAGATCACAAGTGCCTAAGGCCAATTTTATTAGTTTCTGCCAATTTTAGGAGTATATACATTACATATTATTATTTTTTTTTTTTGGTTTCAACAGTAACCACTTTATTACGTCTAAACAGTTAAGTATATTACAAGGTAGTACAGAGCCTAGTCTATATATTTCTATATATCCCTGGTCCCTTCCTCCACAGTGTTGCAGTTCCCAGACCTAGTACCCCCATTCGTGCATAAAGCATCACACGGCTGCTCTAAGGTGCCCATGTGTAACTGTCTAGCAATGTTTTATCTCCCCTTCGGCTCTAACTTACTAGGGAGTTACCCTTCAGATTAGCAGTAAGACATACTCGCCTATTTGCTAGAGCACCTGTGCCTCATCCAGACTTTGGTAATTTTACACCACAGCTTGACCTATGTACTTGGGGTCAGGGCTAACCATTGAACCCCTTGTAACCAACTTTAGTACCTGTTATATTGCCGATACCGGATTCGTATCTCAAGCCATCTTTTAGAATGCTGCCATAACCCGGTCCATATCTCAAACCACAACCTTCTCAAGTTAGTTGACTATTACCTACTTCTTGCCCTTATTAAGGTTCACAACAACCCCAATACCCACATTTGGTACTGTCTTCTTACTCGGATTCTTTATCGGTCCCTCTCTTACTTCCAGCTAGCAACCCGGAAGGGTTGGTCTGCCCAGGCCTTAGGTGCCTGAAGGATGCCCTCCTCTTGGTATATACTTTTGAAGTGTATGCCCTTTTCCTCCGGTGTGACAGAACCCGGCGGTTCAGCTGGTGTGTTCTCCACCATTAGGACCTGGTCGTTCGGTTCTCCGATCTCAGGCCCCAGTTTGAATTTAGCCCTCATGTAGTACCATCGTAGATCATTGCTATTCCTTAGCTCGGGACTTCCCAAATAGGTTTTCAGTTATTCCGGTTCCTCGGCTTTATTGCGCCATTGCTCCCATTACTAGATGGTATGACTGAAGTTACAGATTTATGAAGATCCAACCGATAATCATAACCGTCAACTATAATGCAAGCCTATTTTTCAAAATTTGTCGTCCGTGGAATTCGAACTCTAGACCTGCCACTTGGAGAGGGTAATGACTAGACCACTACACTAAGTCACCACACCTCTCTCATACATTACGTATTATTATTATATTACATTTTATATATATATATATCCCGTGACCGATCTCTTTTCTTTCCCAGTAATCAGATTTTAACGTTTTGATACCATTCGAACCGTCTCATCAAGAGGAATCGAATAGTACCAGACCGTTTTATTTTGGTTTCTGCCATCCACACAAAATAAGGCGTTTTGCGTATGTCAATTGAATAACAAAGTTTTTTTTATAAAAAAAAAAAAAAAAGCTTTCATAATCAATAAAATACAACAACACATGCTTCCTGAGGATAATAATATAATATTATCGGAACAGGACTCTTTAAAAAGAAATGACATTCCACAAGATGATGATTTCGACAAAAATAAAGCCCTCTATTCTAATGACGAGGACTTTCAAGAAGAGGACTCTGACTACACTTACAATCCAACTCTGGAGATGGTATCTCTCCAGTTAAAATATTCAAAAGAAATGAGCTATCTGCCAATAATAGAAAAAGAATACTACAGAACATTCCAAAAAATAGACAGGTCAAGTCTGTACTACCATCTATAAACAGACAGTTATCTCAAAAGTTGCCAAAAGATATTAAAGCAACTGACAAAATACTTTCAAAAATATCTTACTGCGTATCAGCTACCCTTAGACCGTTGGACTATTCTCTTAAGACTCTATACGATACTAAGCCCGCAGAAAATAAAAAAGAAGCCCTTGAAGTCTGGACAATATTGGAACAATCTATGCTGACAGCTAGGTCTTTGCTGTTGGACTCTCTCTCTCATACCACGTAGGTTAAAAAAGACTTGGCTATCAAAGCTATCATTTCTTTCCATCAACCCAGGGCCAAGTACAATGAGTTGTTTGGTGATAAACTTGCTAATTATGTTAAAAAAGAGAATGAAATCTCTAAATTCTTTAATGATGCTGCATGGCAAAAGAAAAGGTCAGAATCGTTTGATAAAAGAAACAACTACAAAACAAACAAAAACTTCAATTCAAACAAATATAGAGGCAGAGGTAGAGGATTCCATAGGGAATTTGGAACCTCAAACTATAGGCAGAATTTTTGGCTCAATCTCCCACAAGGGGGTCAGTCTTAGCACCGAGTACAAATGTAAGGTTGGGTAGAAGATTGAGATCTTTTTTGCACAAATGAAAAAAACTTTGCAAAGACTTTTAGATAGTAGAGCTTTTACACAACGGCTATCTTTTGCTCTGGGATACGTTACCTTTATTAAGAATTTAACCTGTTTCAAAAGAGTTGTTACTAGTAGAAACTTTTCAGACCATAACATCAGAAATAAACAAATTATTGGAAAAGAGTATTATTACAAAGTTCAACAAGAACTTACCATGTTTCACTTTAAAACTTTTTTGTGTTCCAAAGAGTTCCAGGGAACTTTGCCCGGTTATCGATTTCTGTCTACTAAACAACTATATAAAGTACCAACACTTCAAAATGGAAAGCATAGATCTAGTAAAAGACACATTACAAACGAATGATTTTTTAACGAAAATAGATATCAAAGATGCTTTCACTCATATACTAGTGGCAAAGAATTTTTCAAAGTACTTAACGTTCGATTTTGGGGAACAATATTTTGTTTTTAAAGCTCTCCTTTTCGGCTTGACCTCGAGCCCAAGAATTTTTACGAAAATATTATGTCCAGTGGCGAAATGGGCAAGATCTCAGGGCATTCGGCTAATAATTTATCTAGACGATATTTTCATAATGGCCCGTTTGCAAAAACAAGCACATCTACACACACAAAAAGTGATACAGATGTTGGAAAGATTAGGATTCATAATAAATCTAAAAAAATCGCATCTGGTTCCTACAAAGAATTTGGAATTTCTTTTTTTTTTTTTTTTTAATATTGAGGTAACCACTTAGGCCCCTGGCACTTTATTAGTTCAAACGGGTGGGCTGTCCGAAGACAGCTTACATATTACATCA